GAGGGCACTCGCTGGAAACATGGAGTTAAAGCCCACTTCAGAAAAGAAAGATTTGTTTTCACGGCATTTCATTTTTCCCTCTCTAAAATAAACCTGGTGAATCTGGCTTCCTGATTTTAAACATCTCCTGCCCAGCCTCCAAGAGCTTTAAATTTCTATTTACCAAACAAATATTGTGGGTTTCCAATAGCCAATATTTCTAATATTAATTTCCTGCAGGCCCCTTAGATAACACCCAAGCCCTAAAAAACCTCCATGGGGCAAATGGCAGCACCGGGGGGGTCCTTGCTCCACAGAAATGGTAAATCTGTTTGCAAAGAAAAATAAAAATGCAAAATACATGAGAAGAATACACCAGAGTGGTTTTTTTTAAAAGACATATTCCAAGTCACTGTGGGACTGAGCCCCCGGCCCCTTGCAGCATCCCCCAGCCGCGGGCCTGGTCCCCCTCCATCGGTTTGGCTGCTCGTGGTGTTTCTTTGTCCTCTCCAAGAAATCCTGATTTGGCACAGGAACAGGCTGGTGTTTCACAACATGCCGGGAATTGCCGTTTGCCCGATATAATTTGGCATTTATAGACCGTTGGTGCACACGTGGCTTCAAAAAAAGGTTTCAGGCGCTGGGTTATTTCTGGGGGTGCAGCGCTGCCGGCGGCAATGCTGGATGCTGAGTTGGGGTTCCCCTCCCTGGGATTTGGCACTTGGGCTCTCGAGATGGTGCCGAGCCCTCGTGTGTGGAGAAGAAGTGATTAAATACAGCATTTCCCCTGCCAGGGGTTGCTGTGGTTTAGGGTCACCTGGCGGAAAGTTTGTTGGAGAAAGCCCTAAATCTGTTGCAAGCAGTGAGATGCTTTTAGAAATTTTTAAAAAATATTAACTAAATCCCAGCTTAATTGTCAGATTTATTCTGGAGAAAAGGCTAAATTAGAATTGGCAAACAAGGCGTTTCTTGTTTATTCCCGTTTTGTATTTATTTTAGTTCCCCCAAGCTGTCTCTTAAAACTGAATTTGCTCGGTGTTGGTGTAGCTGCTGCCAGGAGGATGCTCCGAGCCGCCTGTGGAGCGGTCGAGATTTACTGGGGTGTGCTGTACGGGGAGGGGAACGTCCCATTTAATAACCAGAGGTGGAATATTTCTTTCCAGTGTCCCAGAAAGCCTGGCTGGGTCTGCTCTCCCTGCTTGTTTTGACCAGGGGAGAAGACACGATGAAAGGAGCCTCCTCATTTTTGATGGCAAAAAACCCAGTTAGAGGGTGCCAAGGAGTGGGTAGTGGGATGTCAAGTACTTTCTCACTTTTTAAAGACGGTTTATATAACCTGCTTGGCTGTGTTATTTTTTTTTCCCCTCCAGTTACATAATCCTAATTTATGAAAGCATTAGGAAATTGCATTCCCCGCTGTTACGTGAGCGTCTGTATAGAATGTCCTCGGAGCTTGTTAGGGTGCTGCTCTCGGCCCCTCTGCCAGCCATCTCCTGAGAAGTTCAGGCAGGTGTGGAACAGCTTTTATACACTTATTATTTTTAAAAATTTTTTTTTTAAAACCATCATCCGAGGCTGTGTCAGCCCCTCCAGGAGCGGGAGGGGTGCAGGCTGTTGCCTCTCCCTGCTGATGGAGAGCAGAGGCCTCGCTGCTGGCTCTGGCTTTTCTGTTTTTTTTCCAGTATTTTTGGGACATGCCTCTTGTGGCAGAGGCTTCTCATGATTTTTGTGGTGGGAGCAGCTGAAATCCTCGCTGAGGCCAGGGACGGCTTTGGGGGCAGGTGGGGTAGGAGTTGCAGAGCATCAAGTGTGTAAAACCCTCGACCGCATCCCATCCCTGACACCTTCTCCCCTTGGACGAGCAACAACCCATAAAGGTTTATGGGTTTTGCTTTCCCTGGTGTACGTTTGTCTTTTGGAATAAAGGAGGGGGAAAAAAAAAATTGCTTGGTTGTTGTTGTGTTTTTTTTTTTCCATTTCACATTAAAACGGAGGGAGCTGTGTCTCTAGGTACCCACGCTGGAGGGGCTGGACCACGGGCTGCTGCTGAGATGCTCGCAAGAGGGTCAAGGCCAAACAGGCTTTATCCCTGTGATTTATTATTTTGAAGCAACCTGGAAAAAACACCGAGGAAGCATTTCCCTACTGGTGCCTTGCTAGATAACCAGCAAAGGAGCCAGATTATTTTTAATGGGTTTATATTGTAAACTGGAGGTGGGGGGAAATCCTTTCTGAAAGTCTTTTGCATGTCACTGGTGTGGGTGCGCTCGCCTTGCTCCTGGGGGGGTACAGACAGGCTGAACCCATCTTGCTTTCTGGTGAAATATTTATTCTGGCAAGGAGCAGCGAGCCTGTCCTGCTCGCTTGTTCCTCTCACTGCAGCTGAAACTTGAGGGCAGCCTCTTATTCAACATATTTTTTAAAAACGAAAATTAGTTATGACTTGGATCTTAACTCAAACCACTTCAGAAGCTTAAAAATATTAGCTAGGCAAAGTGATTAAGCAAGTGTGACGGGAACACATACCGTTGTATTTCAGTTAGCCGCATGCAGTAGTTTCCTTTTCTCCCTTTGTTATTCTCTAAATTGCTTAAAAACCTTCCCTTGCTGCCGATCTTCCCTGAATCCCACTGAGACCTTCCGCTGCTCAGGAGGTGACCGGCGGCCGCATCCCTCTCTGGGCTGTCCCCACACTCGGGGTGATGCTCGGGGCGGGGGGTACCGGGGTCTCCGTGGCAGGAGTTAACCCTGGAGCAGCAACAGACCGTGGATGAAGGAGATGAGAGGGTTTGCTTTGGTCCCCAGTTAGTCCCGGATCACCCTGGGTGCGATAGAGGTTTTTTCAGGGTGTTGGACAATTAAAGCAGCTCTGTTTGCGATTTGTTTTTTTGTTTTGAATAAAAGTTGCCATGACCGGCCCGCCGGGATGTTAGCTGCTTGCACAACGTGCACGCTAGGAAGTAAATCAATCCATGTGAGTCTTATTCAGCTAGCGATAATTTAGATTTTATGGCTTCCCTGCTTATTTTAAAGGGGGGGGGGGAAGTCAAGTGGCCAGGATTTAAAAAAAAATAAAAATAAAATTTCTTTAAAAAATTTCTTTTAAAATTCGAGTTGTGATGTCTGAGTGTGAGAAGTGACACTCAGTGCCTGGGTGCATCCCTATGTGTGGGGATGGAGCTGAGGATTATGTGGAGCTGCCTTGCCGGGTTTAAGGTTGTATTTTCTTAGAGATCCCAATTTTATTACTGACTCAAACTTTGCCATCTCCCTGTGTCTCTGCTCTGCAGGCGTCTTAAAACCTCCTCGTCTGGGGAAGAATCATTGAGCCCGTCCTTCCCTCCTCTGCTGCACAGGGCCGGTTTGCCCAGTAAGTAGGTGTTTTATTAGAAAAACCAGTTTTCTCGATTGAAGGGGGGAAGCAAAACGACGGTGGGACAGCGGCGAGAGCCCCGCTGCTGCGCTGGTTGGGTTGCTGTTCGATTTGGGGTGATGCTCACCAGGATTCGGGGCCCCACGGCTCCCCCCTGTGTGTTTAGATTTGCTGGTTTTTAGCCTGACCTTTGCATTTTAAAGGAACTCCCTCTCGTGTTGCAATCCCAGGCTTTTCGGGCTGCTGTGGTGCTGTGGAAGTGAAAGCGCTCTGTGCTAAGCGGGTCTTAAAAAACAAACCCCAGCCCGTCAGCTCTTCGCCACCCTGTTGAGTTTCATCCTTGACTTTCAGCAATGGTCAATAAAAAAGTTGGATGGCGTATAGCCTTTTCCCCCCTTCTTTTTTTCCCCCCTTCTTTTTTCCCCCCTTCTTTTTTCCCCCCTTCTTTTTTCCCCCCTTCTTTTT